AAAAAAAAAAAAAAAAAAAAAAACCATGTGAAACCCCGTTTTTTTTTTTTTTTTTTTTTTTTTTTTAAAATACAGGGTCAGCCAGGCTTGGTGGCGCACGCCTTTAATCCCAGCACTTGGGAGGCAGAGGCAGGTGGATCTTTGTGAGTTCGAGGCCAGCCTGGTCTACATAGTGAGTTCCAAGACAGATGGGGCTACAAGGAGACCCTGTCTCAAAAAAGATAAAAAAAACAAACCAAAAAAACAGGGTCTCACCATGTAGCCCTACCTGGCCTGGAACTTGCTATGTAGCTCAGACTGGCCTTGAATTCACACAGATCTACCTGCCTCTGCCTTCCAAGTGCTGGGATTAAAGACATGCACCACCAAGCCAGGCTCTAATCAACTCTTAACTGAAGCTATTTTACAACAGGACTGGGATGTCAAGAAAACATATATCAGAAACTGGGCTATTTAAAAATACTCTTATGCTTGGGGCAATTGAAAAGTAGACATACCAAACTCACCACGGCAAAAGAGAAAGTTTTGACTTTTAATAGGTCCCTCAGTGAAGTCACTGGCTACAGTGATCAAGCAAATAGCACATCAACAGTTACCTGTCTCTGTGCAGACCAGCCAAAGTAGTGACAAAAACAAATGCAGAGATTAACATCACTGTAAAAGAGTAGGCCAAGGTCAGACTTCAGTGTCCAGGGGGCACATTTATACTCACTTCCCAGACGCACAAGCCAAAGGGACTTGTCTGTGACTTGTTTGTCCCCTTCAGCTGAGTACACTCTAGCTCCAAGTTTCTCTTGCCTTGTTTCCTATCCAAGCAGGGCTTCCTGTGCTAACCCCTCTTCTACCACCTGGCAGACTTGCTCAACATTATCAGGTAGTCTAGATTTTCCCAGGGAAGTCAACTAGCCATTGTGTCCCTTTGTATCCAACTGCTTTATGAACTCTGGGGAAGCCTAAACTCAACCTCGTTTGGAAGCATCTTGGAGCCGGGGACTAGTTCTTGAAATGTCTTGTCAGCTGGCCAGCTTGGCTGCCCCTTCTGGTTTGCTCCCTGCTTGATGGGTACCCTGCCACCTCACCAACACAGCATTGCTATTGGATCATCCCTCACATCCATTATAATCAAACCAAATGCATATGCACTGAGACAGTCATGACCAAGAAAGAGGAAGGCAGCATGCTGACCCACAGCACTGTGCACTTACTTGGCTGCTTATGCCTGTATGTCCTCATTCCAATCCCTTTTCTCTGCCTAGAAAAGGAACATCTCTAATTAATGTGCTTTTGCTTTCCCCAGCAGTGTTTTCATGTAATCACACCTTTTGAGGTTTGATGCTGCCTCTTGTACAAACATGACCCATCCCATCAACTCCCGTTAACCAGAGACACTATGGACTGACACCCAATGGACTTAAATCCCAGCACTCTCTACCATTCTAAAGCAAAGAACTTACCTGACTTCACTTCCTCCCTTGGTCTAGGAAAGCAGTGCTTTCCTGTCACTCAGACAGGAAAACCAAAGCTGAGCTTTGTACTGGCCAGCAATTCTTTGCTTTCAAAGGTCAAACCAGTTCAGGCTGGAGTTGAGTCCACAGTAGTTAACTTGATACTGTTGTGATCTTCTCGACTTCTAGCCTTTGGCAGCTCTTCATAACCGGAACTCTCTAGAAACTGAAAAGTCCTGGCGAATATCAGCTGCCTCCAAACTACTTATTACCAGGAGAATCAAGAGCTACAACTCTGAGCCATAATTCCCCCAAAGAGCATTTGTTTAGCAGGAACTGGATCTAAAAATGTTGTCACTAATTACCCTAAAAGTCTCTTTCCATCATCCACTTAACCAGCAGCTGAGGCTGCTCCTGGCTCTGCAAGCTCCAGTGAGAGATCTCATCTAGTTTCCACACAGGTCCAGTAGCTTCCAGAAGACTCTTCCCTCAACTATTGTAGCCACTGCAGGGGCAAGAAGACACCACTACCAACAAGGATAAAATAAGTTTTTATTTATATTCTTATAGTAAAGGGGGAAGCCTTAACTTGCAAGACAGTTCTTGGGCAGTATGTACAACATACTTTTTATTTCCATGGAATGGAATCAAACACAGACTGAGACTACAGAGTATACACTAGAAATCAGCAAATGCTGGGGAACAGAGTAGGAAAAAAAAAAAAGAGGGCTAAAGACATGAAACCCTTCGCTGGGATCTGTTGACCACAGCCAGAACCAGGGCTGGATCACACAGCAGGGACAGGAAGAAGAAAGTGGGCAGGGAAGGGGCTGCACTGGGGTGTGTTTAGTACCAGGTAAGTCGCTCTTGGTATTTACATACAAAATCAGTTGGCTCTGTTTCTTAGAAATACACACAGAAAGAAAGGAAGATTTTGATCATTACTTTATGAATCTGTCGCTTGACAACATTGACATAATCAGAAATGGGGCAATTCACTCAGAATCGTATTTCAGTAGCAGGAAATAAATATCAAAACATCACTGGCCCTCAATACAAAACCTCAACCCACCCAAGGCTCCCTCCCCATCCCACCCACAAACAACCACTATCCCAATCCAGGGTGGCTGTCTCACTGCTGCCGGCTCCTATACATACCACCAGTGTCCCATGCCCCTCTCTGTAGGGCTGGCTCCAAGGCTTCAACAGCTGATGAGAGGAGGGAGTGAAACATGCCAAGGACTCTGCAAATCTGTCCCCACTTTCCTTTTACATCACAGACATCTTCAAGGACCTGGTCTTTCAACAGGAACAATAGCTTTTAAAAAAATATCCTTACAAAGGTGAGGGGGTAATTCTGATTACTTCAATCTGATCATCTTGTCAAAAGTAGAGCAGTTCAGAGATTCACAAAGTCCATCAAAGAGAGGTGAGGGGAGACCAGGAGGAGAGGCTCCAAAGGCAGGCGTCCTCCAGGCACATGCTCCTTGGGCTGAAGGAGCTGGTGGGGTGGGCAGGACACCATGTACTCAGAGGTCCGGCTGGCCGTCTGTCCTCCACAGAAAAAGCTGCCAAGTTGGGGTGTTTTGGTTTAAAAATTCCTGGTGGGGACAAGGACTCCCTGAAGGGAATACATTATTTAAAAAAAAAAAAAAAAAAAAGTGGACCTGGGGAAGAGCTGTTGTCCAAGAGCTTCTACGTAAAAATAACAATTTAAAAAAAGAAAAATAGTCTTTTAAATGGTTTTGAGGGTTCTAACGATGAACTGAGAGGAGGATAAGACGACGATGACGGAGACGACAGTTTTTATTGCTGGCCTGCCCCACAAGGCTTAGCTGGCCTCCATCCGGAGTTTCTTCCTGCTCTGGGGCTCTTCAGGCTCTGACTCCGAGCTGGAGTCTGAGCCCCCATCGAAGGCAGAGATGGTGCCGCCCTTGGCGTTGGTGTAGAGGCTGTTGTCTGAGGAGGGGTAGTTGGTCTGCAGTTGGGCACTTGACCTCGCCTTCTCCAGTGCACGGACTAAAAGGCAACCAAGGGATTGTGTTACCACCTTCTGGAGATCCAGAATGACCAAGTCTCAGACTCAGGGTCCAGCCTGTTCTTCCTAAGGGTCTGCTTGCTGGCCCCCACGGCACAGGGTGGCTCAGAAGTCAATCCCTTCTGGTGGCTGTTCCACCTGCACACTTCATTTCCCCTTTTTCCTTTCCCAGCTGGACTTGGGAGCCCAGGAGACATGGCCATCCACTCTGCCATAATGCCCGCCCCTGAAGAGAAGGCTTATGATGTCACCGTCCTGCCATGGACCCAGCGCAGAGACCAGAGCAAGAGCTCCCTGTTGGATTCAGCAGTGCAATGGTAGAGGAGAAGCTAGCCCAGCAGTGCCAGGTTCCACGAGGGTATGACACCCCATGATAGTAGGAAAGGATGACAAAATATATTGGCCAAAAGGAAAGTTTGGCTTGGCTTTCATGAACAAAATCCTCTTGGAATGACAAGCTGGACACTTGGAAGCAAGTTACCAATATACATAAAATACCTGGGCCTTTCAACAGATACCCCTACATGCAGGCTGCTTGGCCCATTATCCAACCCGTTGACGCCACCCGCTCCCATCCCTTGGTTCAGCTCAATTTGAACCTGGAAGGTCAACCCGTTCATGTTATTTTATGTGAGATGTTCTAACCCAGGTGGTTACTTGCATTTCCTTTTACTTGCATCTTCCATGAGGGAGGAAGAGAAGTGAATTCCCCAGGAACAAAGAACTTGATCAGCTCTCGCTTTCCCCTGTGGTTGTAGGAAAAGGCGGGTGTGAGCATTGGAGAACAGCAGGGGCCTGGCCCATAGGCTGCCCTGATTGGACTACCATTGACAATGGGGAGGGCTCACTGTCCCTGAACACCTGGAGTTTCTGGTACTTACACAGCACATTTCCACTCCAAGGACCTCAAAGCTCTGTTCAGACACCTAATGTCAGGTGTGACCCTGAGTCCCAAGGAAGGGAGAGATCAGGCCAAAAAAAAAATATACAAGCTTCTGGATGTTCAGTGCCCTAGCTTCTTCGTTTCCTCACTGGTGGCTCCAGTCCTTCCTCAGAACAGCTCTAACACTCAACTATGAGGGCCCAAGGAGCAGCGGCTAAGGCTGCTTCTGAGGCATGGTCCAGAACTGGCTCTGACTGCAGGCCCAGGTGGGAAAGCCCCAGTCTGGCAGGAGCACAGCAGGGCCTGTCGCCCCATGAGCTTGGTTGCTCACCTTGTTGCTCCAGAAGAGCGTTCTGTCGCTTGAGGTCATCAATATCTTGCTGGTGCGTGTGGTTTTTCCTTCGCATATACTGGATATACTCTGTGGCTTTGTCTAAGATTTGGGCCCGGGATGCCTGTTACAATTTGAGAAAAAAGCATAGGAGACAAAATAAAGATTGAGTCTGGGCAGCAGGGGAACCACGCCTTTCTCTAGTAACAGCACAGGGGAAAGGAAGGCTGGAAACAGGATGGCAAGATGGGAAAGGCGGAGGAAAGAGAGCAATAGCTAGCTGCCTTTGTAACAAAACGCCAAGTGCTCCACAGAGCTTAACTCATAAGCAATCTCAGAAGGAGCTCTACTAAGGAACCCAGGTCTCAGAAAGGCACAGTGGGTTTATTCAAAACCACCAGCTAAACCATGGCAGAGCCGGGGCCCAGAGTCTGTCCGACTCCTGAACTTGTACTCCCCCCACCCCTCTGGCTTCTTTTCTTATATTTTAAAGACAGGGTTCTAAGGCAGGCCTTCAACTTGAGATCCTTCTGTCTCCGTCTTCCAACTGTTGGGATTCTAGGCATGAGTTGCATCCCTGACTCTCTGGCTCTTTAGGCTGCTTTAAAGACTTCAACCAGGCTATGCCTTTTTGGAGATAGGCTGGTCTCATATTTACTAGCTGAAAAGGACTCCTGTCTTTACCTCTCCACGTGTTGAAATAACCACTCCCAGTTTTATTTTTTATTAATTATTTTTGGTCTTTTTGAGACAGGGCCGCCCTGTAGCCCCAGCTGTCCCGGAACTCACTATGTAAACCAGGCTGGCTTTGAACTCACAATGATCGGCCTGCCTCTGCCTCCCCAGTGCTGGGACTAAAGGTGTATGCCGCCATGCCTGGCTTTTGTTTTTTTTTTTGGGTCTTTTTGCACTCCCAGTTTTATATGGAGCTGGGGGTGAACCCTTTGTGCAACTTGGCTACATCTGAAGACATGAAGATACGACTTAAATGAAAGCTCAGGTCACTCCACTCTGCTAGGGTCTGGCTATAGGCAGCTAGTTCAGAACGGAGAGGGGAAGGGCTGGGGTAGAGTTGGCTTGGGATAAGAGTAGACAGGATGGAGAGTTTCATCAAGGTCTTAAGACTTCAAACTGTCAGACTGCTGGTAAGTAGGCCCAAATGACCAATGTGGCTGCTGAATCACTGTTCCTATCTTCCTGTCTAAAGAGACTTTTGTGAAGGCTATAGGTGCTTGATGTCGACACAGGAAGGACATAAGATTGGGCCATTTCAGGAAACAGTCACACCTCTACAATGGTAGTAGCATCCTGGCCCTGGCTGGTCAGGGGCACAAGTTCATAAGCCAATAAAATGGGTAACAGGCTACTGTTTACTGGAATCACATTTGTTTTGGAGATTCCCACCAGGCTGTATACATGCCTAGAGTTAAAGACAGGCTGCCAGCCAAAATGGTAGAATAGTACAAAGGCAAGAGAAGCCCAAGGCAGGGCAGCATAGAAGCTGAAGTCTGGCATTTATGCCAGAGTCTGAGCAGTAGGGGAGCTTTGCACTCACAACAGTAGTTGTTTGTTTGAGACAGGGTCTCACTATTGTAGCCCTGACTAGCCTGGAACTCAAAGGGATATGTCTGCCTCTGCCTCCTGAAATTATTCTTCAGTCCTTGAGAGTACTAGAATGTCTAGGCTTTCCTCTTATAGTTCTCACAAGGTAATTTTCAAGAGAAATCATTCATATGCAATCATTTTTATCTTCAAAGAGTTATGTGAAAGGTAGTGAGCAGACACTATGAGGAAACAATGTGTTAGTCACAGTTTCTTTGCCCAAAAGCTTACGTCTACTTGAGAAGTATTATCTACATGCAGAAAAATCACAGGCAGTGCTGACAAGTGTAAACCTGATTAGGACACATTACAAAAGTCACTGGAAAGGTAGCTTCTAGTTAAAGTGATAACCCACTGTGTGTTAGACACTGGCCTTGGCACTACATACTCCCCTGACCTCCCCCATGTGATGCAGTGAACTCTGCATTAAACTAAGTTTGTGGAAAAGGTCAGAGAGCCAAGGGGGTGGGAGAGAAGCTAGATGAGTGCTCTTTAGCTGAGTGCTCAGCCTATGTAGGAGGAATGAGGTGATCTAGCAATGGACTTGGTTCCCTGTTCTTCAAAGAGCTCTCTAAAGGTGTATTTGACAAAATGGGGTGGGGTACATAATTAGTAGGGACTAATTAAAATACTTTGCCTTGTTGAATACTAAGATGGAACTGGATCTTGTTAGTAGAGTAAATAAGGTGTCAGACATTGAGGGTTCAGGAGACCAAGACATGTTCAATACTATTACAGGACTTTGTACCTGCAGACATTCCTGTCCATGGCTGTTACTTACCACCTAGAAATTCTCTACCACACCAGCTAGCCGTCCAGTTATAGCCCTTCCATCAATGGTCAATCCTTATGCATATTTACACCTCAGTCTCATTCATTCATTCCTTTATTCATTCAAGCCATCCATTCATTTGAGCCAGGATCTGTTTTGAACTGTGATCTTCCTGCCTCAGCCTCCAAAGTATTAGGATTGTGTGCCAATCTCTTTTTAAATTTGCCTGTTTTAAAGCTATTGTTCCAGCAAGGCAATCTTAGCTCTTAACTACTTGTGTGCACCTAGGACAAGGGAAGAAAAGCATCATCTGAAACCAGACAGTGTTTGCAAATGACCAGTGATGACTTCTACTGAACAGCAAAATAACTAGCAGCCTATGTGTTCCCAGTTTCCTTTTGGATACTTATACCTGAAACCATGAAATTAGCATCAAGTGACAAGTGAGTGGTGAACACAGTAAGAGCCAGAAAAATGAACACGATCCTTTAGCTGACAGCAGCTTCTACTTCAGGGTAGTTTTTCAGTGAAGATAGAATTCGCGGGGGCTCAAAACAGTGTCTCAGGAGCAAGAAGTTCCCCAAAGCAAGTCTGGTTTAAATTCAGCACGAGGCCTCCATGATGCCCAACAGTCCTGCCTCTAGCCCGGCTGAAAGCAGAAGTGTTCCTGGTTACCTGACCAGTCAGCAATTCCAAAAAAATGGCCCAGTTAACTTGATTTTGTCCTTCCCAGGACACTTGCCAAGAATTAAAGTCTAAAAAAAATTAACATAAAATACAGAATACCACAAAATATGAAATTTACATCTAGTCCTGGGGAGAAAAAAAAAAGCAAAAGCCATAAATGTTAGATTAATCTGCGTTCCACATCTCTTACAAGACCACATAAGCAGCTATAGCATTATGGTGTGAGAAGGCCCTCCTGGCCCTTATCAGTTTCTAATGTGTACAGTCAACACAAAGCCAACAAGAGTTCCTGGGGCTATGGCTTGGACTATGGAACAGCCCTGGGCTTTCAGTTTCTGTTTTCTGAAAAGGCTCTCAATCAGGTGAGTCGACTGGCAATGTCCATGTGAGTCCTGTGACCAATAGGACCTGACAAGTCAACACGTCCACAGAGCATGCATGTACTGCATTAGTAAGCTCTTAAATGGTTTCTTTTTTCCTGTTTAGTTTTCAGTGATTAGAAAGCACTAATTCTGATTCTGCCCTTCTGAGCAGAAATGGCTCTTTTGAACACTTTGGAGATGACTCTTGGACCGGATGGACTATGGCTGAAGGGACTGAAGAGGCAACTATGTCTCCTATAAAGAAGGGTGGTCAGGCTTTATAGTGCTCTCTTTCATCTGCCAGAGCCACATAATTAATGCTGGCCAGCTGATGATAAAATGTCAGTTGCTAACACTGAGTACTAGGTGCCAGGCATCCTTATACAACCTTCCGTGCATTACTTGCTTTATGTCATAAATGAGGCAACTAAAGCACAAAGCTGTAACTTACTCAATATTATGTAATTTGTGGTAGTCAGAACTGGAACCCAAGCCTCTAGGGCACTCAATTTAGGAACAAAGACAGTCATAGCACTAATTTTAAAAGATCAACAGAATTGCAGGGACAGTGTTTTCATGGAGGGGAAGGTCTGAGGAAGAGAGGACTTTGGAAGAGCCATTGATCTGCCCACAAGGACATCAATGAAGACCTTAGTGAAGGTGGTTCTCTCCAAGGAGACTCAAGGTCAGGTGGTGAGCCAGCTCCACACATGCATAAGCTTGAGCTGAAAAGGAGGCAATGGTAAAGACTAGTCTTTAGAATTTGGTTGAAAAGAGGTAAAAAAGCAGCTTGTAGCAACAGCAGCATTAAAGGAAAGTTGTTTTCCTTTCTTTTTTTCAAGACAGGTGAGAACCAAACAGGCTCCTAGCAGAGAAGAACCTGAAGACACGAAGTAGTAGGAATTTATAAACAACAAATGAGGACATGCAGACAATCCTCCTGAAAAGTATCCTGGCAACGAACAGCAAAGCCAGTGGCTAGTACCCTTGATACAGAAATCCAACTGAGAGGGAACTCTGGTGTGTGGAACAGCCATGTAAAGCATATTCATACTACTTTAGAACATTTGAAGAGTATACAAACCCCTAATTGGTCAACAGAAACGTGGCTAATGACTATGAACAATACATCTGGGAAAAAGCATTTCATACAATGCAGCAACATTTTACCTATGGTAAGTGTACATATGAAGAGAGTAGAGTACATAAGTTGACAACAGCATATTTCTTTGCATCTTAGACTCCATCTATTCTATGCATTGGGGGTGGGGGTGTTCTCATGTAGCTGAAGCTGGCCTCAAACTCATGAAGTAGTTGAGGCTGATCTTGAACTAATCCTCCTGCCTTCACCTCCTAAGTGCTGGGATTGAACACAGGGCCTTGTACATGCTAGGCAAGCACTCTACCAACTGAACTCCATCTCCGACCTCTGAATTACATATTAGTAACAGCTTTTGGGGAGGTGGTAAAGGACAGACGCTTCTTCTGTCACTTACTTTAAGGTGGTATCCAATTTCATCATATTAAACTGGAGGGTTAGGAAGAGAGTATAGCTCACTACTACACTATCCAGTGTGAGTCATACTGAATACTTGGCTAATGAGCACTTGAAAGGTGACTGAATTTTGGTGACTACAATTATACAATACACAGTAGATTCTTAAGTTCTTTTATTTATTTTTTTGTCTTTTGAGCCAGGGT